TTACAAACAAATATTTTAAATGTAATTAATGTAAAAATCTTTAATTCATAATTCAGACACAAAAGATATCATACGTTATTTTTTCCAATAATTAAATATGTTATTCATAATTATGATTCAGTAAAATGTGAACTTTTAAAATACCAAAGTAAACAAGCATAAAATTATTATAATATTATAACTTAACGTAATAGTTTCCTCCATTCTTAAATAAAATAAAGAAACAAATTTGTAATAAAGAAATTAAATGACAATGCTGATCTTATAAATCTTAATCAATACAATATTTCTATTAGGCATTTTATAATAATATGAAATTTTATATAACATTTTAATTTTTAATCTATCGACTGCATTTTAAGTTAATAGGTAAGTACTATATTATATTTTGTATGTTTTATTTTTGAAATTATTGATTTCATAATAAAATATTTTACTTTGTTTGACAATGTGATCACAATGAACGATAATATGTCACTATTTAAGCTTTTAACAAATAAACAAATAAAAAAAAACAAGTCACCACAAACACCAAAAAACATGAAACAACGCAAAAATGCATTTTCCGTGCAACGACGAGATGGTAGAACAAGTAATACAGGAGCTCATTGGCTGAAGTTTATAGAAAAAAGAGCAAGATGTGAAGTGTGCAGTTACAAAGGTATGGAATCTAGACTATTTTCTGTGTGTAATCATTGTAAAGTGCATTGTGTGTCAATGAGAAGAAAAACTGTTTTGCCGAATACTATGATATGAATTAAATATAAAATTAATATTAATTTTTTTTTATAATTTATAAATATTATTTTTTAGATAATGGTTTTATAAATAAATGTTATAAATTAAGTTTATCAGTTTTTTATTTATACTTAGGTATAATGTGTATTCATATTACAAATGTGCACAGTAGTTATAGAAAATATTTTATGCTCATATTGTAAGATAATTATATTCGTGAAGGAGAAAAATATTCTATAATATGATGATTTTGAGTTATAGTTTTTTCCACAAACTTCAACTACGTTTAAAAACTTGTTTGAAGTTTTACCTGTTTATATTAAAAAAAAAAAAAAATTAGAAATGTCCTTAATTTCACAATAAAAAATACATTGCTTATATGGGAAAAAAAATTGCTCTAAATGGCTGACGGGACTTTTAAGGCCCCTGCAAACTTGTCATTTTTAAAGTTGTGTTCAGGCAATTATTTCGTTCCTGCGATTACTGATCGTCTTTGTGTGTGTGTAGTAAATGATCATTAGTGTGTGTATACTCCCCTACAATCACCCGCGACCCACATCAATTTACAATACATTGTTATTTCTTATCTGGTTTATGGTGCACAAGTCATTGAATGTCTAGATCAAAATATTCAAAACCAATATATGAACGTGAAATAGCCAGTTAAAAATAAGGTTTGCTGCATTTGCAATTTGCTAAGTAAATCAATAATTAGAGAAATTTTTTCAGAAGACTTTCAATTTGGTTGTTCATGAAGCTCAGTGTAACGACGAATTTAAGCTACCGTTTGTAACTAGATAGTAGCTAATACATCACTGGCTCGAACGCATGTAATGAAGGAGTCTGTATCCGTCTATTCAGACACAGGCTGCTGACGATCAAACCAAATAAATTAACGTACAATTGCTACTTTAATCAATAATTAGAGACATTTTTTTTCAGAAAAATTTAATTTTGGCTTATAAATCACTATCTGTTGATGAAATTAATCATAAGTTTTTAGTAAGAGGTCACTCATTTTTACCTTGCAACCAAGATTTTGGCTTAGTTGAAAAGCCAATTTAACAAATTTGTAATAAAGAAATTAAATGACAATGCTGATCTTATAAATCTTAATCAATACAATATTTCTATTAGGCATTTTATAATAATATGAAATTTTATATAACATTTTAATTTTTAATCTATCGACTGCATTTTAAGTTAATAGGTAAGTACTATATTATATTTTGTATGTTTTATTTTTGAAATTATTGATTTCATAATAAAATATTTTACTTTGTTTGACAATGTGATCACAATGAACGATAATATGTCACTATTTAAGCTTTTAACAAATAAACAAATAAAAAAAAACAAGTCACCACAAACACCAAAAAACATGAAACAACGCAAAAATGCATTTTCCGTGCAACGACGAGATGTCAGAACAAGTAATACAGGAGCTCATTGGCTGAAGTTTATAGAAAAAAGAGCAAGATGTGAAGTGTGCAGTTACAAAGGTATGGAATCTAGACTATTTTCTGTGTGTAATCATTGTAAAGTGCATTGTGTGTCAATGAGAAGAAAAACTGTTTTGCCGAATACCATTAAATTAAAACCAATAAATTAACGTACAATTGCTACTTTAATCAATAATTAGAGACATTTTTTTTCAGAAAAATTTAATTTTGGCTTATAAATCACTATCTGTTGATGAAATTAATCATAAGTTTTTAGTTAGAGGTCACTCATTTTTACCTTGCAACCAAGATTTTGGCTTAGTTGAAAAGCGAAAAATGAAGAAGAACATGAACAAAAATAATTATATTATACAAAAATATATATTGTATGATATAGATAGGAAATAAAAGACAGTTTAAGATAAGGTTTGCTGGACAAAATTGGGCCTTTCATCTAACTGATCACTTGAATGAAGTAATTGGGAAATATTAACCAAATAAATTAACATACAATTTGCTAAGTTAATCAATAATTAGAGAAATTTTTTCAGAAGACTTTCAATTTGGTTGTTCATGAAGCTCAGTGTAACGACGAATTTAAGCTACCGTTTGTAACTAGATAGTAGCTAATACATCACTGGCTCGAACGCATGTAATGAAGGAGTCTGTATCCGTCTATTCAGACACAGGCTGCTGACGATCAAACCAAATAAATTAACGTACAATTGCTACTTTAATCAATAATTAGAGACATTTTTTTTCAGAAAAATTTAATTTTGGCTTATAAATCACTATCTGTTGATGAAATTAATCATAAGTTTTTAGTAAGAGGTCACTCATTTTTACCTTGCAACCAAGATTTTGGCTTAGTTGAAAAGCGAAAAATGAAGAAGAACGTGAATAAAAATAATTATATTATACAATAATATATTGTATGATTGTGCATTAAATATGCACAAGAAATAAGGAAACTTATAGCTGCTTTTGAAAGTCGTTTCACTAATTTAGACAAATACAAGACAATATTTGAAATATATTCATCTCTTTTTCATACTGATGTCAATTCGGCCCCAGAATATCTTCAAATGGAACTCATTGACTTACAATGCAATAATGAATTAAAACACATTTTTGAAACATCAAATAGAACACTACTGTGCGATATTTAAACCGTTTAAAGAAGTTACTATCGAACTAAGTAGCGAAAAAGGCATTTCGATTTCAAAAGTGTTAATTTTAATAAAAGCGTTACATTCACATATAAAAAATAAAGAAAAAGAACCAAATTTACCAAATGCTATACATTTGATTTCTAAAATGGTAATAAAAGCCAATGCTAAATTTGAAAATATCGAAAACCAGCCTATTTTAACAGAAGCAACTATTGTAGACCCGCGGTTTAAAAAAAAAGCATTTAATAATCAGTATACATATCAAAAAACATACGAAAAGATAGTACAAAAAGTTGCAAAAATAATTCGTTTAAATCAAAGTCCAGCAGAAAATGAAGAAAATGAGAAAACCATACCGACCGATTGAGAAAACGAAACTTCTGAAATTTTTCAACAGTTTGACTCTCAGGTACATACATTATATTATCATTGATATTTTGATATTTAAGTGATTTATAAAAATAGTTTATGATTTTTAGGTGTCTACTTCAACTTCAGTCAACACACCAACATCTGAGGCTATTGTGGAGTTAAATAGATATTTGAATGAACCTAGGTATACTAGACCGAAAATCAGATCCTCTTAAATGGTGGAATGACAGAAAAAAATCTATCCAAATTTATTTGATTTGATGTTATTGCGTTTGTGTGTACCATCAACATCAGTTCCGAGTGAAAGGACCTTTTAAAAAGCTGGCTACAACATTTCCGAAAGACGTAATAGATTGTCAACAAAAAACTCGGAAATGTTGATATTTTTAAACAGTAATAATTATTAAATACTATTATTTAATTTTTAATTTTTATCCATTTTAGGCTTAGGCAAGTAACTAAGTTAATTTTAGAAGTTTGAGTTTATTTATTTTATTGTTATTATTTTTTTTTTTCTAGGGTAAAGTGATTTTTTTTTTGTATTTTTACAATTATTTTTGCTGAAAATAAATATGTTTATTATTTATGTGGTTAGTTTTTTTTGAATCTGTAGTTTATTTAATATAATTGTAGCGATTGGAAAAATATTAAAACGATGATAATTATGATTAAGCATTTCAAATGTATATTTATATAAAGATTCATAATATTGTAAACAATGTTTACAAAAACATAGTGCTTCTGATACAAATTTAATTATTTAAAGTTATTTTTTCCAGAATACAGTAAAATAGTGTTGTATAATGGGCCTACGAGCTACGAAGCATATTCGTTCATGAATATTAAATATCCATTGCAAGAATGAGTAAACATTTGAATATATGTATTTTTATCGTTCCGCGAGGAACTATACGAATGTGAGTACAAGTGTAACTAAAGAAAGAATGTACCGATTGTACCGATGTAACGAGTATTTTGGAATCGGTACTTTATTGTAACTGTACCGATTGGAACGATTCCACAAAAGGAACGATAATTCCCACCACTACCCGCAAGATCATTTGGGTTGGCCATCCCTGCTGGAGAGGATGGAACATTACAAATGGCTTTGATTAGATTACTGACGACTTAAGATTTTGGCAGATTAATCAGAATTGAATTCAATACGACGATTTATGTTGTTGAGCAAAGGTACGGACAGGGTTATAGAAACTATTTAATCAACAGGGCTGACGTTTATACTGAGTCGGATCATATTGGGTGTTTTAAAGGGAAGATGGATGGTTTCGACGCTGTGTGCTTGTCATTGAAACAGAAGATAAAAAGTATTGTACCCGTTTATGGTATCTCTGTCGATGTAGGAGCTGGCTTCTACAGGCAATTGTTCGATGAAGTTAATACGTTGGTTAAAATTAAAAGAGGATCACACAGCCGTGTGGTTATGCATGGTAACACAAATTATGGTTTTGTTAAGCCACTCAATGGCGATCGTAGACTTGGAACAAATCAAGTACAAAAAAAAAAAAAAAAAAAAATGGGCCTTTCATCTAACTGATCACTTGAATGAAATAATTGGTAAATGTTAACCAAATAAATTAACATACAATTTGCTAAGTTAATCAATAATTAGAACAAGTGGTGGCACAGATTGTTTTTTGGTTTGATCGATATTATGTTTGTAAATTCTTATGTAGTTTATTGTACCTTATTTGAGAAAATTCCTGTGCTGGAATACAGAAAAGCTGTAGCGCAAGGTTTGCTATCCATACAATTACCACAGAAAAAAAAATCACAAGCTCAAATCCAAAAAATGTAAAAAGAAGAAAAACAGCTTATTCTATGCCAAGAGACGTCCGCACTGGAAATCTAGGTATCCATCATCTAACATTCGGAACGCAACGTGGAAGATGTGAAGTATAAAAGTATATGACGTTTTTTTTTAAAAGACTATAAATTATTCCTATTTAGTAGGTACTTATTACTTATTAGTAACTAATATTCTGTATTTGGTTTATAATATTAAACTGCCGGGGCTATACACGATGTATTCCGCGGCATTTTCCGTTGAATTAAAAACTCATTGGTTTAAATCGGAGCAGCTATACACGACAGGCGTATTACGTAGCGTTTTCCACGACGGCAAGCACACAACATGATATAATAAATTAAGTCAAAAATAAACATATTAAGTAGGTAAACAAGACTTTTGACGTAGGGATAATTATTCCAATTTGGGTCAAGTACAATTTTTTGGACATCACAGAGACAACATTGTGTGTCCCTGTCTTCGACAGATGCCAAATATATAGCGGCGAGTGAAGCAGTCAAAGGGATCATGTGGATTACGCGGTTGATAATAAGCTTATCAAAAACAGGTGATAAACAACCAATAATATTCATTGATAATTAGTACTATACGTTTAGTTAAAAATCAGGAGTTTCATAGGAGGACAAAACACATAGACGTGCAATACCGTTTCATTCGGGAAAAGTATGAAGATGAACAATTCCAACTAGGTACAGTTCATTGGGATGGAAGAACAGATTGCAAACATTCGAACAAAGCCTTTGGTCAAAAAACGGTTCGAGAAATTGTGGTCAGCTGTAGAAGTGACTACAATTAAAGAAATTATTAATTGAGGGAGGGTGTTGAAATATATGAAATATACAATTAATATTAGTATTCAAACCATGCAAACACATGTGCGTGTACATTATGGTTTTCTAATGGATACTTAGGCAGTTACGATATAGCTGTGTAACACTTTTACTATCGCTTTAGATATTATACATGAATATTTTCCAGATCAGACATGGTACCTATCTAATAAAGAACCAGTTTTATTAACAATGAAAGCAATACCTATCTCATAGCCAGATTAAAAAGTAATCAAACTACAAAAAGTATTATACCTAATCTGATTAAAAATGTTATAAGTCATTGATAAATTATGTTATTTAGGTATATCAATAGTGAACCTTTATTTACCATAATATAAATGCTGACCTCGCGGTTGGTTTTGAATTGCTAACAATTGATAGGCGTCAAGTCCACAGCTAACGATATCATAGGTACCTGTAAAATAAAAATATGTGTTATATAGACATTGAACATAATAGCAGAGGTGGCAGTACAATATGGAAACATTAATTGTTTACATTACCAATCTTGCCACAGTCTGCAGTTTAAAGCGTCCAAATGACATGTAAAATATCATTATTATACTTATACATACACAGAGTTTCAAAGTAATAGGCAGGTTGCAATTGCTAGCAGCTGTAGTAAAGATAAGTAGTAACCAGTAAAAAAGTAATCAATCTGGATAGTATCCAGTGGATACTCTGCTTGAGGAACAGCTAACGTCATTGCCCTGGACATGGTCAAGTTCTTGCCAGCTGCCGTCGAAACGATGTCGAAACGAGGATGAACAAATACCTAACCTAACATAACTGACGTATAAAATAAACAAAAAACAAGAACACGTGTTTTCACGAGACGCGAAATCGACACTGGATTCGATGAACGATGAGAATAAAATATAATATAATTGTAGCGCGTTGTGTAATTAATTATTATTAGTAATATTATTATGCCGACCGATGACGTACCGAACGGAAAACGATCACTTGATGGTGATGAGAACTAATAAAATAGGAAATACTTAAGTGGAAGATCCGGCAGAAGGGCAGTACCGGCGAGGGAGAATAAATTGAAATTCATATAAAAAAATATGGCGGACCGGTTCGCAGCCGAGACAGAGGTTCCGCGGTGTCGTAACGACAGCCTACACTCAACACTAGTGCACACCACACTGGTAGACTACACAGTACACGGCGACAACGGTGCAGGGAGCAGTACCCCAAGCGCAACAGTCGTGCGTACTGCATAGTGTCGGTGTGTACAACTGGCAACTGCCTCGACGACCAGAGCTATGGTGCCGAGCCATCCGTTTCGTGGTGGTGGGGGTCGGCGTCGGTGGCGGTCGTAGTGAACAAAACATGTCGACGCCGTGTCGGCGCGTCCTCGCCATCTGGCGTCTCTTCGCACAGATTGGACAACTTACCGAACACGGTTTTCAGTGGTTCTCATTCTGATGACTAGTGACTACTGATCGCGAACCGACCGTGCTCTCTCGATCCGTAACGACACAACACTTATGATCACTATGCACTGATAATAATAATAATAATTAATAAATAATGCACCATATAATATAGATTTAAACACTATTATTCTTTGTAACGGAGGACGACAACATATTTTCTTACATAAAGTTACTCGGCTAAGAATTACGGCTGTAGATACTAAACTGAGTACACACTAATGCCGTGGTTCAAAATGCCGAGTGCAAACTACAAACGTAATGAATAGTGTTCAATGATGTTAAACGTACCGCGCTGGCAGCGCTGATGTTTTGCTGTCGGCAACAGAAAACACGGTTGACAAAAACCTTAGGTATAATATTATACAACGATAGTCAACATGAATATTTGCATAATAGGTATAATGATATACGCAAAAAAACCAACGCCTACCGAACGATGATAATGTTAATACATATATTATATTCAATATTGAATAATAATATTAATACGTGATAACGCCCTTGTTAAGAAACACAAAATGTACCTGAGATAGATAATATTATAATATGTTATATTACTATATTATATTATTAGTTATATATAAATATTAGTTTGTATATTATATTATATTAATATGTATTAGTATACCTAGGTATATTATCTATCTCAGACAGTCAGACCTAAGTGCATTTAGTTGACTCCACGGGCAGGCACGTCGTCAAGGGAGGGGCCTTAGAGGGCCGGGCCCCCTAAGAAAAGTCAGTGGCCCGAACTGGCCCTCTTGATTTTTAATTTTAAATATTATGATGTTTAATTATCTCAAACCGGCTAAATCCTGAATGTATATGATACTCCAAGAATTAAATTACGAGATTCTATTTTATAAATATTCGTCAATCGACAATTTGAGATAAGACAATAATACGTAAAAATGAAAACTAGGAATTCCAAATACGGGTAGGTATCGAACTCACATTTGATAAACACAACTACAGAAAATACTATATAATAGTGAACCAATTACCAATATAATAAAATAAACAAGCCTAACAAAATGATATGTCCCATTGTCCCAATATATTATTATTCTCTATCGAGTATTCGAGTGTGAGTATTGATCATATTGTTTACAAGGCACAAGTGTAAGAACCAATAAATAATGAAAAGAACTTTAATAAGTTATTTTAATAACCCAAAACCCGAGAAAGGTAAGTACAATAATAATTATACATACTTCCGATACATTTTATCTACCCAAATCTTATTTACTTAAATTTTATACTTACTAATTATTATTGTAGTTATTTCTTAATTAGTTAATAATATATTAATGTAATTTTGGATATTCTAGGATTAGATAGGTTGTAGGTAGATATTAATATGCATAAATTAATAGATGAATATATTAGCCATTAGGTACTAGGTACATATTTTAAATTTTTAAGACATTTTATGCTATAGTATCGTTGATAAAGTTAAGTATCTATTTTATTTATTTTAGATTCTGAGTGAAACGATGAATGTATTGATTTTACAATGATGTGTGTTTTTTTATTTTTTTTTTTATTTTTTTTTGTGTCTGTCATCACGTTTTAGGACAGTAAAAGTGCTTGGATTTTCTTCATCAGTAGCTTTTCTGATAGGAAAGTGAATCTAGTTGGTACTTTGGGGGGTCAAAAGTATAAATTTCCAGTAGTTTTCACAAGCGCCGGGAAAAACACATAAAAATTAAGGAAAAACGGGAATTTTTACGCAAAATTGGTTTTCCAAAAATCGATTTTGGTTTTTGGTGTAACTCTGAAACAAATGAACGTAGATACATGAAATTTTCACTGGTTGTTTATATTGAATTTTCTATACACGATAACATTTTCAAAAATATTTGATTTATTTGAACTGTTTAGGGACATTTTCAATTTCCATTTTTTTTTAGTTTTTTTTCTAAAAATATCAAAAAATGTTATTTGTTGGTTGCGAAAGCTTGAAAATTTAATAGAAGGCTCCTAATATATTGTTTCAAAGGCAGATGAAAAATATTAAAAATCCTTAGTCACAATTTTTTTTATAAGCATTTAAAGTTCAAAAATTGACAAAATATGGGAAAATCACGAAAATTAGCAAATTATTTTGAGTTAAGAATTCGTAAAAATTTTTCTTTTTAAATCTAAGATTTGAAAATTAAACACAAGATTCCTTATAAGTTTGTCTACCTTTATCAAAAAAAAAATGTCTATAAGAAAGTCAAATTAAATTTTTATGAGCGTTTGAAATTCAAATTTTTACAACATTGAATATTCACTCGATTTCTCATGTAGCGATTTCCTTATTTTGTTGTAATTCAAAAACAAATAACTGTAGATACATGAAAATTTCACTGAATGTTTATATTAGCATTTCCTATACACCATACAATTTTGAAAATATTTTGACTCTTTTTGAGCTGTTTATGGACCTTTACAGCTTTCAATT